TACTTGATCCACCCGAACGACAAGACTCCCCTCGAACGTCTCAGAGCGCAGTGCAATTAGAGCATCGGCGGTACAGACGACCACATCTAATGCTCGTATCTCCGGCACTCCCATCAGTCGGCTGTTGCAAAAAGAGGCCGATTCGCAGCTGATTTGCCGCAAAATCGGCGTCACTTTGAAGTGGTCCAAATAGGAAATCTTGTTGTTGAGCCATGAAGAGTTGTTTAAGTCACTGTCGCCAAAAGATGAGGCTGCTTCCGGCCGCTCTGCAATTCAGTTTTGGCACAGATATGGTCCACTTGGCAAACACCTCTAGAACTGGAACTAATTTATGCAGATGCTTTAGGCTAAGTCGAGAAAACGAATCGGCTCTACTCTACAAGCTGTATATTCTCACAATGAAGAACGAAATTGAATAGGTATATAATTATTTGACTAATGCTTTTTCATGTTAATCTTAATACTTCTATGCTTGAGTGTGTGCTTGTGTGTGTATGCATGATCATAGTCCGAAGCATCAGTCACATTTGAGTACTCAACCCAAATAACCTTCAAGAGTTCATTTTGGCAAAAAAGATGCTGAACCCAGATATAGATCTGCTTTATGCTTCAATTTGACTCATCTTCAAGCCATTAGAGTAAGATTGTTGTGAAAACTTTCAGTTCATATGAAAATGCATGATGCACATTTTTGTAAGTTGATCTCACCACAAGACGTCGGCTGATTCGCGTTGTACCGCAGCCGGTATTCAGGTTGATCCAGTCCACGAGACATCCTCCATTTTTTTGGGCTGAGACGTACTGAGACGTACTTGTTCGTCATATGACGAGCATTATCACAGCATTAAGTTGACATTAAGTCAAGAAGACTGAAGGGCTTTTATCTATATCATATATGTACTCATTTCGGGAAAAATTTGGATATAGATGGATATAGAAAGTTATCTTCATTCACTTATACTAAAGTGTGTATTCTTAGTAGCGTCTATATTCAAAACCGGCCATAAGTAAAAGTAATTAGGAAAAAGCTTAGCGTAAGCCCCAGGTCATCAAGCATGACCGAGATTGCGTTGGTCCGTGGGTAACCCCGGCCGAATTGATGAGATGTAAGCCTGTACGAAATCATCAGTTCGAACCCGTTAGTCTAGATTATTAGGATTTTATGACCCAAAGAGAAGCATGGCTGGGATTGCTCAGTCTTGCAAGTCTGTTTCGGTTGATGCGCTTTGCATGCCTGTTGAAAGAGTGTGAATTTGCATAGCGACTCAACACGCTCTCTCTTTCAATCCTTTTATCAAGCATTAGTAATGCTTACTCAACTTTCTACCACCATTCCTCACATTCACGTATTTCCTAATCCACTTATTTCGATCTCCTCTCTTCGCTTGCGTTTAATAGCAGACATATCATAAACAGCATAACTCTGCGTCCGAGACCATTCTATCTCATGTTCAGTCTCTTCATCATACCAAATGAAAGTCTTCATACCAATCTTATCCTGGGAAATTCTTCAAAACCCACACTTTCTTCCTTTAGAGTAAGCAGAAGGTATTTTGGAAAAAGATTTCGAGATGGAGAGACTTTCATTTCGTTTGTAAGTGTTTGATGAGGATAATAAGACACAAGCACGCAGACAAACTCATGTAAAAGTAGTATAACCAACTTGTTCTATATATATATTTTGGTTTTTTAATTATGAGTATTTATACAATGTATGATAGAGCCGGACAGTATTCTTGATCTGGTGCTAACTTGGGACTATCGTAAGAATGAGTTCCAGCTCTGATGATGTCCATCGTATGACGGATGATAGCTTAGCCCGCTTTCATCCGAAACGGGGGAAGGTGTCGAATGGACTGCGTCAATCTGCGGGTCGTAATAGCGCCAAACGGCTGCAGAACAACGGAAATCGGCCGTTGTCTTCTAGTGAGATCGACCTTCGTCTTCATGCACTTTCTTACAAAATATGATTCCTTCAAACAATATTATATCTGGAGATTTATCGAAACCCAGTCGCTTTTTGCATCGAAAATAACATTTCGGGTTCTTCGTACAACTTAACTAGACATCATCAGAGCTGGAACTTAGTATTGCAAAAGTTTGAAGTTGACACTAAGTCAATGGGATTACCTGACTCTATCCTAAATGTCCAATATATTCATAACGGATGATAGTTTTCGTGGTTTTAGTGTGGCGAGAAGACAGGTTGCAAGCAGCTGAACCAAACGTAGTCGTGGCAGCATCACTGAACAGTTCCATTCTCGTCAAAGTGACCGGTTGTAGCTTTTATTGTGATTCGAGTGGCTCAAATTGCTTGGCTTTTCAACCCACGGAGGCTACTGATGTGAGGAGGAATAAAAGTTGAAACTGGTGTTTAACCTGCCTAAAAACGGTGATATGAAACTGGAAGCGAATTCCGATCTCCCTTTGTTGTTATGTGTATAATAGCATAAAATAAAATGCATAATAAAATGCGATAATAATCGCAAGGCGAAAGCATACGATGCCGGATATCCTCATGTCATTATATTCTTTCTACAACTTCGCCTCATCAATCCGCTTCGCTTGTTGCCTAGGCTAAAGGATAGGTTTTATGTGATTTTACCAGTGAAACAGGATAGCTAAATAATCACAAAAACTCAAATTGTTCGATATAGCTAACCTATGAATCCCTCCGGCCAATGTTTTCCTGTAAAACGACTTACTCAGAGCATCGGAATCCGCACTAAGATTACAACATGTTTTTGCTCTTCAACCAGTTGGGATTTCCAGATCATTAGGGCAGTTGTTGACGTTCGATGCAGAAACAGCAGCTTAAATCACTTTTCTGGATGAGCAAGTATTTGTCTTCATTACTTGTCTTATCCATGAGAATAATCTACTAAACGGGCGGCAATTTTTGATTAAAAACTTGTTCATCCTAGGTTATTTGAGGTACGTTAAGGACAACAAAAGAATTTTTCCCGCCATGCCATTAGTAAGCCTTATTAGTTCAATAAATCTCAGTTAACCTCGACTCATAAAATTTTGATCTTCCACAGTCAAAAGCAATAGCTTAACCGATCTAGGATCTGATTAAGTTCTTATTTAGGAATTGCCAATAGCTGCAAAACATACTAATTTTGCTTATAAGTAGTGTCATAGATTGTGGTGCAAATACAGATTTGCCTCATCGACAATTCTTCTATAAATATGTGCTTTGGAAGAGGCCTGACCTTCCGTGTAAATCACATTTGCCATGTGAATCCAATTTCACCCGCTACGATGTTCACGGCGCAGGTGCGAATGAGATGTTGAGGCGAGATACAAAGGGTTGTACAGTCAGAACGGAAAAATTTAATTGTTACAATGACTAAATGGAATTCAATAGTAGCCTAAGATCTATTCATATTATTGTGGGGAATCTCCACTATCTGTTTTCGAGCTGTATCTGCTTTGATTGTTTCCTTGTTAGACTAAATGAGGTTCCCTTCTTCGCATAATCACGATTTGACTGCCTTCAGAGTTGGTGATGATATTATGTTGCGAGGTTTCGGCTTTTTGAGTGGCAAAGGGACGTGAAGTTTCAGGCAAAGATGGGGCCTCATTTTTTCTTTGAATTTCGCATCACAAACGATATTTACATTCATCATCAGCACACACACACACTTCATTCGTCACCTTAAACCAGACAGGATGATCATAGACAGCTCTTATATCAGATCTACCGGAAGTCCTTAAAACCCACTAACGAAACGAAAAATAAGTGTTTTGTAGATTGGTACGTTGACAATCCCACCACACTAATGGGATCTATGAAAGGCCTAGGCCTTCTTGAAATTCACATCTATCCTGTCACCCGGTAGCACTCGTGACAGTCTGATGTAGGAATTAACGCGTCAAGGCTATGCTCTGTACTATCACAACCTGGGCTCGAGCCCCGCTCAGGATGGTAATTGAAGTTGGGCGAGGTCGAAAAATGAGGCCTTCATTACCTTAAACAAGGTATGGTGAGCACAGCTCTTATATCTACTGGAAGCCTCGAGGACCCACTTGTGAAACGAAAAATCAAGCCTCCTCTTCAACTCATAGTGGCCATAGTCGCAATCATTTGACGACATTTATCTCCATTACCAACTAATCCTCCAAATCTTTGTGCATAAATCAAGCTTTAGCCTCCACTCTACCCTCAGTTCTCTCTTTTGACTTGCCGTTTAAGAAATGTCATCAGCCAGAATTTCAGGCAGAAGCTAAGTGGAACGCTAGTTATTCCGTCGTCTCTTCCCTTTTGGTGACTTTACTCCTTGTCCACCCAAACCCTATTCCATATATACTCTTTCTTCCATGCCATTTGTTAATCTCCACGGCTGCTTGTCCGGATAGTATCACTCGTAGTGGCCTCCCCTCTTAACGCAACCATCTTTTTGTCGACATTAAGACGAATATATCTTCTGTCTGGAGTTAGGTCATTCTTCTATTTACACATTTGCTTTGCTGGCGCCTGTTTAAGCAGTAAACTGCGGGACCATAGATACAGACATGCACCCTGTCAGTTGGGTCTTTCTAGACCGTCACCCATTCCACCCAAACCACTGTCCATTTGGCCAATCAGACGAAATACACATTCATCCACTCGAACATCAAATGTTTGAGCCATTTTCTCGAGGCTGGACACTTGGCTGACCCACTGGGCGACGCATTCGGGTACTCATGGGGTCTCCGGCGCACCCACTCACTCGAATAATGCCCAGCCTCCATGACACGCCGGCTGTCCTCTTCTCCAGTTTCGCTTCTTCCGAAATCGTCTGCCATCTGCTGACGATTGTCCGCCAAGTGGCTCCCGACTTATGTGACAAGGGCTTAGGGGGAAGCAACAGGTCATCCTCTTGAGCAAATGTTGGCAAAAGACATTTGACGAACTTGCACAAAAACACACAGACATACACACAAAGAAATACAGAGACATAAGCGCACAAAAACACAGACTGACAGAAAACAGACAGACAGAAAGACAAGAATATACAAGAGCAAACACATACCGGAGAGTGTCTCTCGCTTGTCCATTCCACCCAGTTGCACACCGACAACCACATTGAGGTAGCCAGAAAAAGGTCACTATCGAAGAATTCCGATTATTTTTGTCGTGTTTTCGTCAGTTTTATATTCGAAATTTAGACCCTAATCTTATCTGTAATTTGTCAATATTTATTAAAGCAGATGTCTTCATTCGGCCTTGTTTATCTACAATGTCTGTCTAGGCCTCTTGTTTGTTGGCATGTAACTGATTGGTACAGCAAGGGCTAATCTCTAGTCGAACCAGTTTACACATTCGACAGGTTCTTCGCGATCTCAATCTTCTCCCGGGTTGGCGTCTACCGTGCTAATGCCATTCTATTTACCACTTTGGTTTTGGTTTGTTGAATGAATCAAAGATAGGAAGATTCTCTTTCATTTTATAGACTGTATGAGAGTTGCCATGGATTTGTGACTATCATGATGCATGAAATCATAATTAAGAGACTTCTAAATCAGGATTTACTTCATCTACATATCACCAACCCATCTGATTCATGCTAGTCGGAACTGAATGCATGACTAAAAGCATTTTTTCGTTGCTTCTTCTCGCATTCTTCCATCACTTTGACGAAGCTTCATTTCGATATCTGTTGGTATAAATGCCGACACGTCTACGAGGCTTTCCACCCTCACTTCAAAGAAGAAGTGCAATTGATAAATAATCATTTTCTTGTATTTTCATAAGGCCCATTAATTTTGCGATCCCTCGATCCATTCGCCAATGTAGCAATTCCTTTGAGCATCATACACTTTATTGTAAAGTAATCTAATTTCACGCTGTGCATTCATACAGAATCATTTCTCTGGATACTTTAGACAGCTCAATTTCATTCACCCGCTGTACCACTTCGCCAATTAACAATCTCGAATACACATATTTCGCCCTTTTCTATTTCCACTTGTCTGTCTATCCCAATAGCTAGGAGAACACAATAAGGCTCAAACACTATCCCACACACACAAACAGACAGACAGACACACACACACACACACAGAGACACAAAGCAAGAGCCACGTTCATTCAAGCCGTCGAGCCTTATACCATTAACCACAATTTGGCATACTAGTTTCTCTCGGACATGACGTAGTCTACAAGGCTTCTGGCTAGACTGATATGGATATATCTAAGTCCACTGTTATCTCAATCCACTTTGCCTAGAAGTACTGAGCAAATGTATGCATATTTTCGCTGGTGTGATTGTCCCTGTGTTTGTCTCCATGCCTGTATACCATTGCGCCTGTGTGGGCGAGTGTGTGTTGTCCTGTCAGTGCGCATTCTCACACTTGCCTGCTTGCATATGGAGTCGTGTGCGCCATCAAGCGTGTGAATGGAGTAGGCATGGGGCAATTGGAATCTGAGATTCGGCCACAATACCACTGGCTTGCATAGACTTGGCCCGAGATAAGCTGACCTCTTGACCAAGAAATTAGCTGATTCACGTCACCTTGGTTGCATGTCGCCTCTTTTTGTCCATCTTCTCTACAAATGTTGCTATACCAAATTGTTTGTGTGTATCTTTCTTTTTTTTCACTCTTTTCCACATCTCCTTCTGGTGTGTTGACCTTTCTACCACTTTTTCATGGTCTCAATATCCACATAAAACCTAGGCGCCCAGTATCTGGTGCGTGGTCATGTTATGCAATTCACTCCACTCTCGCCTGCCTCACCACCACCACCCCCCTCGGAAACGACACAAATTCGGTACCAATCCAGGCTTTGCCCATCCGTCGCTAAGACAGAACTCGCTCCGCCTCAAGCCCTCGCGTCAGGTAGTCCAGCGAGGCGGGCAAATTGTGCCCTACTGCCGGTCAGCTGGTCCGGCATTCACTTCAGCGCCACTTTAACCGGCCAGCCTGAACTCCAAAGAGACATCTCTCTGCGTAGACCAGCAGATGTCTTCTTCAACAACCATGACAACAGCAGTTGTTGCCTAAAGCTTGTATTTTTCTTCTTTAACATTGGTCACTAATGCAATCCGGATTATCAACCAAAGCGATGCAGGCATAGCTTGGCCCCACTGTTACGAACTCGAGTCTGGTCCCCTTTCTTCCATCTCCCTTCTCCCTTCACTCCCCAATCCCCCATAACTCCTGTTGCAGACCCATCAGGGCTCAACTTCTAATTGGCCGCTACTTTTGCACAGGCCCGCAAGTGGGCAAACAATACGCCAAACGGCTGGTCTGGAAGATAAAGCCAAAAAGCCTTTTTATGCGTTGAAGATTATGCTTCTGTGGTCAATTTACTAGAGGCCTCTCATCATCCGAACAAGGTATTCATCTTCTCCAGGATGAAAAATTAATTGATAAAATTATATGTTACTACTATCGGTGCTAGCAGTAGTAGCTTATTCATCCTTGTTCGCATAAAGTAATGGAGCATTTATTGCTGAATTTGGCTGAGAATATCTTTTGGCGCGTGAACTTCAGCGGGAACGTGAGGCCTGCTTAAACAATCGCGATAAAATTAACCTTGTATGATTAGGGGTAAATACAAGTCTTATTCAAGAAATACCGGCAATTTCGAAACATATTCATACTGAATTAAGAAAGTTATATATGGCATGTTTTCACCTTTTTTCGTTTGAGGTGATGAAGGACTAATAGCTAAATTTTCCTACATTCATATGATCAGACCTCGTATTTTTATTGAACTCGTTACTGTCATCGTTCGAGTCCAGTTGGGGGCGTTGCTAAGACCTAGGCGAGGTCTAAATTATGGCAATCTTCAGTCTTTATGTGAATACCTTTTGTGCAGCAAGCATGATTGTTTGACAATTTAACTACCATTACTTCATCACTTTAAACGAAAAAGGGGGAAAACATCTCAATTATATGATCTACTGTTAGTCTCCAAAACCTAATTATAGACGAAAAATTTGAAAAATTATCTTTTGGAATATTACTCCTAAAATCAAAACACAATTCTTTTCTTGCTCTCTCTCTCCTTAGCTTCCTCCTTTTCATGAAAATGTGAGGGAGTGAAACAGGCTTAGAGACCTGGCTACATGTGATGATCGCATCAACTCTGTTGACTTGATGCTCCTGCTGCAATCGTCGCAGACCTTGCGATCTGGCTGGTCGTGTTACAACCACCTGGCTAGCCTCGGCGGCCATACAGAAGCCATTTCGGTAGCACCTGATGGTGGGGTGGCCTGGAAGCATGTTCCGAATAGGCCTGCCTTTAAGACAACACGTTGCGGAGCGACTGTTTCGATCGTCTTAGCAGCTGAGGCGATGTTATCACGTCCAGCCAGACATGGCGAAACTGGCACCACAAGGCTGTCTTAGAGGCATGGCACACATGCTGGAGACAAACAGCCGGTCGGAACCAATTCAATTCATTTCACTTTAGGTGGGCCAGTCTGAGCGACACCGGATTCCGTGACAGTCTGACTGTCTCACAGTTGCTAACGCCTGTAGTGAACCCAGATTGTAATTAGACCATAATCCCTTTCAGGTGTGTAGTTCTGACCTCGGACAGTCTAACGCCTGTCTGGACCACGGCGGAGGGTTCAGCATTTCAGATCAATCTCTAACTTCGTCACACCCCCATACGACCTCATGATGACATAAAAGCGCGCACACCCACACCCACACACATACACACACACTTGTAGACAATCGCACATACAACAATTCACACCGCCTTCACTTGTACATGTTCACTCGTACTTGCTCAGATGACGGCATCATCGGCGTTGACCATCGTCTATGCAAACGTCAAGCGTGAAAGGCGCTTTGAAGCGAGACTAACAAAAGAGAGCCCATTATTTCAGCACAAGTTCACTTTGCAACTGGCGAACATGTTCTTGCTGTTCTGGCCAGCATCGTTCGAGGAGTCTGGTAGGTCCGTTTCACTTTCCGAGGCAATCAGAAGACGATTGAGGCTCGGAAGTAGCGTCGGGCGTAGCTGACAGCGACGATCGGCGACGATCGTCAGTCGTCCTTCGATGGAACTGGCGCAACAACCTTCTTTTCTGGCCTCAGTGCACGACACGAACGTGCTGAGTGGGCAAGTCGTCTCGAATGGAGTCCTCCAATTCCAGCTTTTCATTCCGAACGCGACAACTAAAACTAGCAGACCAAGCATTAACATGCAGAATGCATGAGATGAATGGAAAGTGAAATATGTGAAAGGCCTAGATTTGTGTGAAATTCACGTCCGCCCGCTGGTCTGATGCGGCTCGTGGCAGTTTGGCGTAGTGGATAACATACCGAGACTGGCTGTACTATCGTAAATAGAGTTGGAGTCCCGCTGACGGTGGTGATGAGTCCCATGAGAGGTCGAATCTGCAGTCCACTATAAATGAGAATACCTTCTGACAATTGAAACTCATATGACTGGGGGCAAATTAAACTGACAGTCCTTCACCGCCTTAAACAAAATGGGATGAATACATTTTATTTATATGATCTACCGGTAGTGTCAAAACTTGATCTAGCCTGAGCCGTATTTTCCCTTGGACTAACAACAGAATCCGTCGATTTCTTCTGCAAATAGCTTTTTCTAGACTAAATCACCTTCACACGCTTAAACCAATCTTTTTTTACTAATTCCCCAGCCGACATCAGAGTGAAATATTGATGCACCATTTTAACCCAAACAGAGATAATACACATTTTGCCTTAGTACCCGCGTTAGTTAGCAACTGTATGGAGTCTGATGGTCTTCGTTAAGGCTATTTGTGTACCAGACCGACGACGATTCTTCTCACGATTAGATAAAGCTGATGCTTAACTATTAATTTGGATTGAATTAGTTCGCATCAATATGTAATCGTATGTTGCCTATCGAGACAAAATTGTCCCCGAAACGAGGTAAAGCAAGAGATGTTTGATTTGCCATGAAAGTTCTGTTTGCGAGGCAATATAAATGCCTCTGAGCCTGTTTGGTTTCGATGGTAACCTGTCTGATTTCGAATCCCGCCAAGCCTATACATAAAGGGCCGAAAATGTTAAGCTTTCCCAGTTGATAGTGAGCAAAATCGCTCCCATTCCAACGCAAGCATTCTTATGTACGGGTACTTTAGTGCTCAGATTCGAGCCTAATTGACTATCAGAATAATAATATTCTTATATTATAGATATGCAGACCAAGGTCTCCATGACATTCCGATCAAGTTGCGAAAACAAGGTCGAACCAACACAATAATATTCTTATTAAATATAATAATAATAGTAATATTCTTAATAAATTACTAAATATCGGCACGAGAAGCTGCTTCAATATCTTCCGAAGACGTACCAGTTGGAAGGCCCTCTTAATAGCCTAAGACAACCGTGATGCGAGATGGAAGTCATATTTAGAGCTAAAATAGGAAAGAATTTCTCCGCCAAACCCTTGTCGTAGAAATTAAATGGCAGTCGCTATAGCTGGTTCTATTCTGTGCAAATTAACAATCCTTCTACTGAAATAGCGGAGCATAGCATTCCTCCTAAAATAGCTAAATCTTGATAGAGTCAAATGACTTTGATTTAGTTAGCACTACTTATTAATCAAATTTAGTGAAATTTTCTATTAATAGTAATTAGACTCAGTTATAATGAATTAAAAATTCTTAATTCTTTAAATACATTTAAAATAATATTTACTAAAAAAGCTCAGGTAAGGGATAAAAATCTGATCCAATTTAAGAATACAAGCAATATATATTTGGAGTAGAACTCCCTCGCCTGTTTGGTTTCGTTCATTTATTAACATTGTCTCCATCCTTGCTGGGGAAATCCTCAAGTGAAATGTCTTTTATTTTTATTTATTTATCAGTCAGGTGATTGGTAGCTTGCAATAATAGCCATTTAATCCCAAATTATTGTACTCTTTACCTTGAGAAATAAAAACAAGTAAAAATTGAAATCTAAACGACGCAATCACTTGGAAAATCTGTAAAACTTGGTACTGATCCGGATGACTACGCAGAACGGTGCAAAGTACACATTGGCCTGTTCCTGAAGAAGTCAAGTAAATAAACATACTTGGCCAGCTGTATATTTACATACAACCAAGTATGTTGCCCGCATAAAGCGTCAGGACTGCCATATTTATTTTAGGTATTGGCAAAAAGTTGAGAAAATTATGTCCCGGCTTGCACATTATGGGACGGAAACAAACGCACAGGATGCTACGAGCAAGTTAGAATTTGCTAATCTGATCTAACATCGTGATTTATCTCTGTGAAAGTGTTTTTTTGCTTTTCCACGAAATGGTGGGAATGGATATCAATTTTTTAAAGTTAAGACATGTTCTAGTTGAATTCGGGTCTTTTGCTCGCTAGGGTAGAACACAAGAGTCTACTTTGCACCAATTATGGGCAAGTACAAACTCAGACCTTTGTATGAAGACGAACAAAAAGAGCAGAAGTTTGTTCCAAATATTACTTTTTTACGCCAGAGAACAATGCCCATAAGGCTATGGTCGGATGTTCATTTTTTCTAAATTTTTTATCCTTTTTATCCTTCTGGGATGGCTACTACTCATAGCTAAAGCAATGATACTTTTATCTGACTACAATAAGTAAAAATACGTTCTGTAAGAAACTGGTCCATCCTCGCAAAATCAGTTATTCTGTAGCCACAGCAACAAGTGAAAAGTTGATTCAGGGCAATTTTTAAATTAATTTGTGTAAAGAAGATGAGAGATGCATTGCAGCTGCTGCCATTTTACTCAGCCTGCTTTACGGCTTTGCGGCAAAATCGGGGCTTATTCATATTCTAACCTCCAAAATGAGAATCGAATCGAGAATATTTTGGCATTTTTAAAGAAGCTAATATTAGAGCCTCTCTTGGATGTAAATTTTATGTTAAAATCAACCAAACCCACTAGACACGGTTTGACCTCGTTTTCACAACTTGGCCGAGTTTTCAGGCGCCTTTCCGAAGTAGTTATGATAATTCCCGGCATCAGAGTGTGAACTTGGTACATACCCAGACGGTCTAACCAAATAGTTTCCCGTTCTAAATAAATTTTCCTTTTCTTCAGATCACTACTTGATAGTTTTTGTGGAAAAAAACAGAAAAACTTAGCCAGCACGAGGGCAAAATTTAGCTCACTATATACTATACGAATCAATCTAATCAGGATTCCTATAATTGTATGAAAATTTGGTTGGATGGTACATATAATAGTGTCTCTTTGAGAAAATAAACTTTATCACCTTGCAGCTTTGAATATTTATTTAAACGCACCAGCCCTTGACGAACTGACCTCCGGAGCCGATCAGCTCTAAATGAGCTCTTGTCTGCCTCGCTGTGACGAGCATTGTCGAGGATAGATGAAATTTTTGACGAAAATCGTGGGCTGTTGCAATCTTATCTACCTCGTAGAACATAGTGTTGGGATATTATTCTAGCATCCGATGGTTTATTTAACTGGTTTATGCTTCCTCTTGGATGAAGTGGTTTGTGATGACGTTTTCGAAGAATTCCTTGGAATCGCACTAATGACTTGACCTTCATTTCGAATAAAAGTGTGTATAGGGACTCATTAAACGTTCACACAAGAAGACGATGGTGCGTCACCTTTGGTATATTGTCTTTTTCTTATACTCAAACTTTCCGGTTGGCCCAACTGTGGAGATAACCTCCATGAGCTTTAGTCCCACTTTGGTTTAGTGTTCCCACGCCCGAATACTTAGACATGAAAAGGCATTCCCAATAACAAGTTTTCGCTGTTTTATCGGTTTGCATACTAAGGGAAGACTAGCCGTTTTGTTGTCTTTTAACGTCTTGTAAACTCGAAATGGAAATATGAATTCAGCTCAGCGCTTCTTCACTGTAACTGAATGGAGGCGTTCTCGAGGACTGCGTCAACATAAACATTTCGATAAAATCAAACCGTTAGTGATCAGGTAGAATCTGTTGTAGCCTTTTTATGATATTTGGCAAAATATGTCTGTATCACACAGTTTCGCTCGAAATAAAAGCCTACATATAAGGAAATTTGATGCAAAACTGACAGAAGCTTTTTTCATTGACTGACTTGCGATATAGATGCAAGTTTTTTTCGGTCATTCTACATCCTTTGCTTCGTTCATATATCAACTGAGATGGTACAGCTCCAAACAAACCTGCGAGTAATCAAGCCTCAAGTTTTCTTTCTTGCTCCATCTCTATCCAACGGCCAGAAGTTGTTCCGAATTCGTTTTACCTCTTTAGCTCACTTCCTTTTCAAGTAGAAACGTGCAATGATGAGATTCAAAGGTCGAATCCACCAGAGAATGACGGCGACTTCCTCTTGACGATCTCTCGATTCGCTTTGCTGAAACAGTCTTGGTGACGGCATCCTCGAGTTAGCTCATGCTAGTGAGTTGAGAAAACTTTTTGAGAAATAAGATTTACTTACCAAATCGTAGCATACAGAAAACCAGAAAGATAGTTTAAAATTCACTGTCTTGCAGAGTATGGCAGCCTTTCAGTTAGTCAGAAGATTAAATGACAAACAGAAAGTTAACAAGACAACCAAGCGCATGAATAATTTAGCGAATCTACGAAATTGAACGGAAAGCAAGTTTGGCTGTTGGATAGAAAGGATCAGGGAGAAAGGGAAAGGAGAGCCGTTGAGCAAGACGGTGCTTGGTAGATCTAAAGCACGTTTAGTACATTTCATACTTGCATGCATTAATATTGTGGCATCACATTACGGATTATTTAAGAAAGGAAATGTACGTTCTGTCGAATCTGCTTCAAATCTAACCATCTACAGGAGCTTAGGGCGAAGTGAAATGCATCCAAACAAGCTGTCGGATTTATACAAGTTGGTTGACCTCGTTGTCGCAACTTTGTCTTGTTGTCAGGGCGACTTTGTAAAACACACCTAGTAGTTGTCATGATTCCCAGCATCAGACAAGGGACTTGGTACATTCTCAAACGTTTCGTCGACATCATCAGTGACTTTTGCTACGAACTCGTCAAAGAGACAAGTCAAGTCAATCCGTCGACAAACGTTCTGTCGCTCTGACAAGACCAAGTTGCGACAACGAGGTCAACCAACTTGTATAAATCGAAAGGAGACTGCGACCATACCAGAGGCCACAACATCTTGGTCTTCATTCTTCAAAC